CCCCAGAGGGTGTTGGGCACTGAAGAGGCTCCCCAGGAAATGATGACATTCCCAAGGCTGCCAGAGCTCCAGGAACATTTGGACAACACCATCAGGGGTGCACAAAGTGGGATTGTTGGGGTGTCTGTGCAGGGCCAGGGGTTGGATCAATGATCCTGGTGGGTCCCTTGAATCTCAGGATATTCTGTAATTCCAACTCTGTGATTCACCCTTGCTCTCCCCACCAAGAGCTGGCAGAGCTGTTGTGGGTGGAGCAGGACAAGGGGACCCCCAGCATTCCTGGCTGTGTGAAAGAACAAGGGGAACCCCAACACTGCAGCCCTGGAGACGTTCCAAGAGCAGAGTCCAGGCCTGTGTGCAGCCAACAGAGCTGACCGGCCAGAGACCCTGAGTGACCATGGTCCTGTGAGCTCTGCGGTGCCGCTGTGGCAGCCAGAGCTCCCCCATGGCCCAGCTCCTGCAGCCCAGGGATGCAGTGTGGGGACATTCCCAGCCCTTCCTGCTCTGACCCTCTCCCTCCTCCTCCTGAGTGCCCTCAGTGTCTGATCCCCAGCTTTGGCTGTGACCTCGCACAGGATCAGCCAAGCCCCCCCAGCAGCCCTGTGTCCCTGCCAGCTGTGGCCCGTGGGCTCAGCAGGGCACAGCCAGCAGCCCTTGGCACACATCTGGCCACATCTGGCCAGGGCAGACCTTTGAGAGCTCCTGTGCCAGGCCCTGGGGGCCCTGGGTGATCCTAGAAGTGTCCCCACCCCAGGGCAGCATGTCCACATGTGGCAGCAGTCTGGAAAGATGAAGGAAGAAGAGGGAGAAGAACTCTCTGCCCAGAGGTGACAGCAAGCTCAAGGTTCCCACAGGCAGAGCTGGAGCAGAAATGTGGGATTAGGCCTTTTGAGGGCTCACATTGCTTGGTGATGGATCCAGGGTGTTTTTGATGTTGTAGCTGTAGCTGTAGGTGTTGTTCACTGTTCTGCTTTTCCATTGAAACAATTCCATCCATAACCTGTCTGTGTCTGCACGCAGTGGGAAGCGAATGCAGAGGGCCCCAGGAAATGGCAGCCAAGAGGCGCAAAAGCATCGCTGAGCCCCACAGCAGAGCCACCAAGCCCCAAAGGGCACCAAGAAGTCCCCAAGCCTGAGTGACTGCCAGTAGTGCAGGCTGTCCTGGAGGGGGACTCTCCAAGGCCCTTCCCCAGGGGAAGCAGGCAGGGAGCCAGGACAGGCAGGGCTGTGCCAGACTCACAGACACAGCGCCGTGCTCAAAGCAGCCCTGGGCACACCCTGGGTACAATCCTCCCATCTTGGGGCTTTAAGTTCTTCCCCGAGAGGGTGGTCGGGCACTGGAACAGCTCCCCAGGGAATGGTCATGGCCCCAAAGCTGCCAGACCTCCAGGAGTGTTTGGACAATGCTCTGAGGGACGCACAGGATTGTTGGGGTGTCTGTGCAGGGACAGGAGCTGGATCAATGATTGTTGTTGAATCCCTTCCAACTCAAGATATTCTGTGATTCTGTGATTCACTATTTGACAGTTTTATCAGCTATGGAGAAGAGCTGGGAAAATGATTTCTGTCAGCAGCTGAGGAGAAACTGCAGTAGCAATAGCAACAAAGACAAGGGATTGGAACAAGCCTGGATTCGTGATTTCAATGGTGACAAGGTCTAGGCACAGAACTCAATTTTCTACCCATCTGCCACAATCACCTTTACATTTCTATACTTTGGTAATCAATTCCTTTGGGAGCCCTCGAGAAGTCACAGCAATGTGTCCTGTGAGGCTGGAAGGTCTAATACTGCTCTGGGACAGATTAAGGCATCCAACCAGGAATCAAGAAACCAGATTACACTGGCACTTGCTTGGTCTGAGCCGCACCAGAATGGTGAATTCCTTATTCACATCTTCATCAAGGAGGGAAAAAAAATCAGGAAATACGTCACTTGAAAACCTGAACAGCGTCCAGAGATGTGCAATGACTTAAGAGAATTAGAAAACATCCTTGACAGTGATGAACTCCCACAGTCCTGTTTATCTGTTCTTGAGGGATGACCGCAGCCTGCAGCACTAAGTCTGGATAACAAAACCTGGATAAAAGCAATCTCTTCATTCCAGGGAAGATAAGCTAAGCTGTGACGGGTGGGAGCCAAAGCCAACCTAAAAATAAGCTGCATATTTTTAACAGTAATCAAGCACTGAATAATCCACTAAAGCCTGTGGAGGATCTTCTTTCACTGCATGTTTTCAGACAAAAAAGAGATTGCTTTTCCAGGAGATGCACACTGCAGCACAAACCTGCCTTCCCAATCCCTGTATTTCCACGGAGATGGCCACACAGGGCTTTATCAGTTTCAAGATACGGCAGATTTTGTTACACGGGAAAAAACGCATCTATTCAAACCACAAAGACTAGGAAATTTAACTCTGATGGATTATATATAGGAAATGTCAGGTCCTGGAAAAAAAATTGTGTGTATTTTGAGCAAGTTCCTAGGACTGGATGAGTAGGAATTTGCGCAAAGCCCTGGCTGAAAGGAGAGAGGTAAGCCCACGTCCCTTTTCTTCCTGCTCTCTCTCTCTCCTCTCTTTTTCCTTCTTCACGGAAAATTTTTATCATCTGCCGTAAAATTGCTGTGCTGGGAATACTGTGATAATTACATGGGAATGCAAGTACTGTGTAGGTGCCATAATCCAGGCTTTTTCCCCTGATATATTTCTTAATTCAGTGTGTTAGTACATGGAAAGTCTATGTTTAAGTGTGAAGCATAATACACCATAAATAAAAAAAAATAATCACATCCTACTGCTTGCTTGGAGAGGTAAAAAAATAAGAAAACTTTAAATAAAGTTAGAGTGTAATTTTCAGAGTCTCTCACCCAGACCTCACCCTCTGCAACAAGAGGAGGGGATAGCCCACACTTTCCTGAAATATAAGCAGGATTTATCTAATTTAAACAGTCTTCTGTTTCCATGGAGCCAACAAGCACTGAACCCTTGTGAAAATCAGTTTTTATTTGTTAAGTGGCACGGTGGCTTATTACCATTTAATACTTGGGATTCAGTGACAAGTCAGGGACAGGGCGCGTGAAGTGCCGCGCAAACAGGGAACGCCAGGCTGATTCCTGCCCCCAAGAGCTGTAATTTTCCAGCATCAGCAGTCCTGCTGTCACTGCTCTGGATCCCAATCCTCTGCTGTTTTCAGCCTCACGAACAAAGCAGCTCGACTGGGTGATGGGTGACGAAGCAATTTTTCCTGGAGGAATGAATGCAGTGGAAAGGGCACCCATGAGTTAAGGAATACACAGAGTATCGACACCCGAGGACAGCACGTTCAGCCAGGATCACTGGAGTGGAGGCAAGGCTGGCTTTTCAGCAGCTGGAATTTTGGAGCACATCAGGGTTCTGCAACACCTCAGCCAGTTCACCTGTGAGGCTGAGCAGCCAAACACGAGCCTGTTTTTCTGCCGCTCGCCTCTGACTGCCCTCAGTTCACGCAGGAAAGATGGCAATGAAGACAAAACTGGTCACTAAGAGGCAAAAAAAAAATTCAAGCTTGCAGGTGGAGACATTAATTCTGAGGGGAAAATTCCATTGCCATCCTTGTGACACTGTGCAGTGCGTTTTTTAGGAACACGCTGGCAGAGGGGTGTGGTGAAAATGAAGAGATGGGCAGTGTAAAACCAGTGGATGTCGTCATCTTTAGTGGTTTCTTACAAAGAAAGAGCTGGGAATCGACACCTTGACCATAATGAGAGAGTAACTAATTAGGCAAACACGTTTTAAATGAAATTCACACTTTGTTATTGAGCGTTTCTGGTTTTTACTGACTTGTACTCTCAAAACATCACAGATATTTATCACAAACATCTCTATACTCACTCATTATTCAATGGATTTTCTCCAGGTTATTACAAGGTTTTTTTTGAGGTCACCTGAGACCCTCTCCAGTCCTGACCTCAGTAATTCTACTTACCATTAATCAGAAATTTTGTTCATGTAAAAAAACTTGAAAAAATTGGCTGCAATCTTGGGACTACCTGTGCTCAAAGAGAATTTCCTTCACCTTTCAAACACAAAACAGGGAACCTAAAAGCTGAGGTGGGACAGTTTTGTTTCTCCTGTTTCTATCTAAATTATTAATTTTGAAGAAAACCTGACCCCTAAAACATGATTTTCCCACTCCTCTAGATTGCTTCAAGAGCACCTGGGAATTCTCAATATTGCTCTAAATATCCAACACCTTTATACATACAAATTAAATCCCGGGCCTCAGGAGTATCCATGCAAAACCTAGCTTGACTATAAACTGAATGGAACTGCTTCTGTTATAGACAAATTTTTGAGAGAATTATCTGAGCTCCCTCTCAGACTAGGCACTAGTGGGTTTTTTTTATAATCTTCCCTCTATTCAGCTATTCAGCCAACAACTCAATTTTTTCAAACCCCACCCAGATAAATTTTGCAATCAATTAATATCCTGTTTCTTCTATAGTCCAGTGGAGGTGTCCCTGCCCATGGCAAGGGGGTGGAATGAGATAAACTTTAAGGTTCCTTTCAACCCAAATCATTCTGATTGTATGAATTTGGGCTGTATTACCCCCAAAACCACAGAGGGTATTTTCCACAGGCACTCACACTCGGATCACTTTTTATGTGTTTTTATTGCAAACATAGGTGCAGAAAATTCTCCCAGGAGACTTATGTTTTCTGAAATATAGTCAGTGAAAAAATACTCTGCAAAATTGGGATGGTACAGTACATTGGCTAAGCACAACACAGGAGACTGCTGTCAAAATTAACAGCCAGAAAAGCCATGGAAAACAATTAAATATATACATATTATTGGGGGTTAGAAAAAATAAGCTTAAATGCCTCTTCCAACCCAAACCACTCTGGTAATTGCAGAAATAAAACACATTACTGCATGAAAGGAACGTGTAGCGTGTTTTCTTAAATGTATCTGTAAAACACCCTCTAAAATCAGGAGTGTGGACAGCCCAGAGGGTGAATGTCACACGGATGAGGACATGAGGTGGAAGTGATGCCGACTCCATGAGGGTCCCAAAACTTTGGGAACAACGCCGCGGGCAGACTTCAGAGCAAGCAGCGTTCCACAGAGGTGCTTCCCAGGAACGCGGCCCAAAGGGCAGAGCCCATGGAAAGGGACATTTCGGGTTAAAGAGTCACTAAGGGACATTTCGGCTTGAAGCGTCACTGAGGGCACCTGGGGCGCTCCCGTGAGGGAGGTGAGCCGTGCCGCCCGGCAGGGGGCGCGCTCCCCGCCCCTCCCTCCCCGGGGCTCCCTCATCCCCTCAGCGGGCGATGTTGCCGCGCCACCGCCTCCACCTCCTGCTCTTCCTCCGCACTCTCCACGGCTCTGCCTTCGGCATGGGCGACTGGGCCTCCCGCCTGCCGCAGGCGGGCGAAGCGCTGCCCGGCAGGACCCAGCGCATGGCAGTGCCAGGTAAGTGCGAACTCCGTTTCCTTTCCTCTCCTTCCCTCGTCCCCCGCTCCCGCTCGCCGCCGTCTCACCCGCGCGCCCCTTCCCCGCTCTCCGCCTTGCGCATGCGCGGTGCCCTGGCGGCGGGGCGGGGCCGACGCGGCGCGTGCGCGCTGAGGGGTCGGACGGGGGCGGGGGAGGAACATGGCGGCGCCGGGGGGCGCGTCCCGTGAGGGGGCGACGGGGACAGGGGTGGGTAAATGTGCCTTGGGAAGGGGTTTGTGTCGAGGTTCGCTCGTGCAGCGGTGTTTCTTGTGTGCCGTAAGAATAGGGGTGGATGGGTTGTTGGAGCAGCTAGCGAGCGTGGCTCTTGGTGGCCCAGAGAAGCTGTGGCTGCCCCGTCACTGGAAGTGTCCAAGACCAGGTTGGACGGGGCTTGGAGCAACCTGGGGTAGTGGAAGGTGTCCCTGCCCATGGCAGGGGGATGGAACGGCATGAGGTTTAAGATTCTTTTCCACCCAAACCATCCTGTGATTATTTTCCATAGTTTCTCTTGGCTATATATGAATTTTTCATTTCTTACTGAACCTGGCAACAGGGTTTTAAGCAGATTTCCTTAGCCCTCACTGTTTTCGTTAAATAATAATACTTAAAAATAAAACCATGACACGCTGTGTATGTTCTGTGGGTGTTTTAGGAAGAAATCTTTGTGAGGGTGGTGAGGTCCTGGCACAGGTTTCCCAGAGAAGCTGTGGCTGCCCGTGGATCCCTGGAAGTGTCCAAGGCCAGGCTGGACCGGGCTCGGAGCAACCTGGGAGAGTGCAAAGTGTCCCTGTTCATATCAGGGGATGAAATTTGATGAGCTGTAAGGTCCCTTCCAACCCACAATAATTTTGTGATTCTGTTTGCAAAGTGCTTTTAAGTTCTTAATAATTCTTCCTATTATTTTTCTCCTTTGAGTAGGCGTGTGCTGTTAGGTAAGCAAACTAGCAGTCCAGAATGAAAGAATTTACTTTCTGACAGTCCTCCTAGGAACTGAAGGTGTTCCAAGATGACTCAGTGCTCAGGAGGAGTTCTAGTGGCACTGAGGTGCTCTAACATATGTATTGGATAGTTCACATAAGAGGTATTTATTGAATGAGGTGTTATTTATACGTACCATTGCTGCAGGCTCCTATGGACCCTAACAAAGTATGAGAACTTAGGGCTTAAAATAAATACTTAAACACCTTAAGTGCATAAGTGCTGGTGGAAGAATTATAAATGGATGATGGTGTAAGCCCAGTGGTCGAGAGCATAATAAAATCTTGCATGTTATAGATACTTAGTAAAAAGCTGAAGGTAGTGGTGAAATGAAAGGTAGCAGGAAGAATTATTATTTCTGGTGTAGAGAAAATGGACTCAAAGGAGGGGTGCAGAGGTGGGGTTTGTGCAAATACAGCAGTGAACTCCAGAGATGATGCCAGGAGCGCCAGAGATGGCACCAGCAGTAGCACATTGCCTGGATTAAAGTGGCAGCTTCAGGTTGTTTGTTGAGAAAACAGAAGACACACCAAGCTCATTTTATGCTGAGTAACTGCACAGGTAGAATAGTTTTGGGCTGCTGTAGAAAAAGCATCCTGATAAGAGCAAATACAAATTTTTAAAAATGTTTTTCTGTGGCTAAATGTGGTATTACATATGTAATAACAGAGAACTGTCACTATTAAGATGTAAAGTGCTCAGAAAAGAATGGCAATTAAAATTTAGGCTGATGATCAACTCAATGCTGATTGACCCTGCAGACCCTTGTCATGTTAATAATGTTGTTTGTGGGTCAGGAACCAGAACTGGACCTGGTATTCCAGCTGAATTCTTACCAGTACAGCACAGAAGAGAGGAATTTTTCTTTTCTCTGCTGTCCAGAGTCACAGTTTGCTTTCTCTGTGAAAATGTGCACTGTGAGCACATTTAACCTGGCATCCAGCAGAACCACAGCTCCTTCCCAGCAGCTCTGAGATCATCCTGCTCTTGCTGTTGACCTCCCTGAGGTTTCTGTTGGTGTAGACCTGGAATTGTTCCAGGTCTCCTGTGCTGTTTGCTGTGTCTGCTCTGGCTGTGTGTTTAACGCTGCCCTCGGATCTGCTGAGCGTGTTTTCTGTCACATCACTCACTTTGGTCTTTCAGCTATCGAGTGATTCTGGCCCCAGCAGCAGCCCCTGGGGTCACCTGCTGCCCACCAGACATGAAGGTATCGATCCCTGCCTTTGGAGGCTGCTGCTCCTTGCCATTTTTGATGTGCAGGCTGTTCCTCCAGCCAGGACTTTGTCAGCTTCCACAGCAAATGCTGGGAGAGAGGGTGTCAGAACCCTGCTGAAGTCAACATTTGCTACAGCCACTGCTCTGCAGAGCCATCATTTCAGCCTGAAAGGGCAGCTCAGCTGGACAAGCATGATTTGCCTTTGATAAATGTGTTGGTTATTCCTGATTACTTTCTTGTTCCCTGATTGGAAATAACTTCTAAGAGGGCATTGTCCATGATATCTCCTGGGACTGTGCTGAAGCTGAGAATCCTGTACCCCCTCAGTTCTGTTTTTCCCTTTCTTAACAGCAGTTGTTACTGTAGCCCAGTTCTCATCATCATCAGAGATCCCCAATCACTGTGGTTTTTCATTATTTCTGATCCATCACAGTGTTCTGATGGCCTCACCAGCAAACTTGCCCTCTCAGCTCTGGAAAAACTCCACAGGGCTCCTTAGATTTAAACACATTTAGCTTCTTTAAGTAACCATAACCCATTTTTCCTCATGTTGTTTGGTTATTTTCTTTCTGGCTGTACCAGCCTGGAGAGGTTTTGGAGCAGTTGTTGTTTCTGGAGACTTGTGCAAAAGAGGTTTTGAGTACTTCAGTCTTTTCTGTACACACTTCTCGCCTGTCTCCTGTATGCATCAATGCACCTTGATTCTTTCTGAGCTTCTTTTCACCCCTGTCATTTTTGTGGATTCATTTCTTATTGCCATTTGTGTCCCCAGCTAGGCTGAACTCCAGCTTTGGCCTCACTGATTTTGTGCTTAAATGCTGAGGTGGTGCTTTTCTTTGCCTCCTTTGTTATTTGTTTTTGGTCTCTGTATTTTAATCCATTAAGCAGCTCTGTGTTTCTGATGAAGTTCCCACTATTTCTACATTTTGTTCCTTAACTGTCTCAGAAAGTTTTTTTTCCAAATTCAGACCACATTGAAGAGCTTTTTTCTCCCTCTGGCAGCCTCACAGGGGCTTCTACCTCTCAGGGACTGCAGCTCCAATCTCTGCTCTCTGTGACCAAAGCCCAGGGAACAGCTGGGGCTGTGTCAGATTTAGGCTGGATATCAGGGAAGGGTTCTTCCCCCAGAGGGTGTCAGACACTGGAACAGCTCCCCAGGGAATGGTGACATTCCCAAGGCTGTCAGAGCTCCAGGAGCATTTGGATAACGCTCTCAGGAATGCATGGGGTGGGATTGTTGGAGTGTCCTGGGCAGGGTCAGGCATTGACTCAGTGATCCTTGTGTGTTCTTTCCAGCTCAGGAGATTCTGTGATTCCACGATAATTCCCCATGTAAGCCAGAGTTCTGCAAGTAGAAAATGCTAACACTGTGTACCTTTCAGCCTTCCTTTGGATCCCCATCTCCATTGTCTTCTGGCTACTGACAGGACTGTTTCCCTCTGGAGCCCTGTGCTCTCAAGGAGTTGTGTTTCAGTAGAGTGCAGCTCCCCATCCAGTTTTTCTGTGCTAGGAAGGATTATTCCTACATCCTGCATAACCTGTTCTGATCCCTGCTCCAGCTGTGTGTGCTGTGCCAGGTCTCTGATTCTTGTCACATCAGAGGTCTGTGACCACACCTGGACATCCAGGTGAGCCAAGCTCTGCCTTAGGGTGCAGATACTTGAGGAGAACTTCTGCCAGAGCTTTCTGGGCCTGCAGTGTCCATCCTCTTCACCTTCAGTGGTGTTAGCAGCCTTTTACTTTCCTAGCTGAGGAGCTGCAGAACATTCAGCTCCTTGTCTCTTGGAGATCCCATTGATTTCCTGCTCCTCATCCTGAGGGGATAAAACATTCTTGGAGCTTCTTCTCTGTGCTGCAGCATCTCCATCTGCCACAGCAGAGCTCCCAAAAGTGAGGCTGCTGCTGCCACTGCTGAGATCCCTGTGGAGGAGCACCAGGCTCTTCCCAGAGTTCATCTGGAGGGAGGTTGAACTTCCAGAGATGTTGGTGCACACTGAGAATCCAAGAAAATCGTGCAGTTAGACCTGGATAAACTGCTCTGCATTAGCTGAAAGGAGTACAGACATTAGCAAACATCACCTACTTTTTTTATAGGCAAGTTGAGTTTATCAGGTCTTGTACAAATTTCATAATCTGGGAATCAGAGTTTGTTGTGCAGTTTTCTTTCCTTGCAATAGAGCATCTGCATTCATTTTTTAAAATTACTTAATATCCCTGTATAATGGTGCAATAAGATGTTGTGCTTTATAGTTAAAACACACATTATTTATTGCTTCTACCTTTCTAGTATAACTCTACTTTTCAGAGTTAATTTTAGTTTGATTGCTGCTGAAACATGGCTGTGTTTTCTGAGTATGTGAGGATTTATTACTTACACTATTTAAAGAACTGTTTTATTTTATGACAGTGGTAGGAGCAGTAGTCAAGGACCCTATGAATGTAGACACTGAGTAACATATACATATAGATACACACACACAAAGAGAGGGGGTTTTTTTTTCCTGCTAGATGTCCTGAGGTAGCAATGTGCAATAAATTAAAAGAATGTTTTTCCTGCCATTCCCAATAAGTAATGTCAGAGAATATCTTCTTACACATCTGTAGTGACTTGACTTTTTTGAGGCAGAGAAAGTCCAGCTCATGGGTAGAGAGCTTTAGGATTGTTTAAACCCATTAGGCCTTTTAGCTTTACAGCTAAAGATTAATAGAGCAGTAATTACAAATGTTAAGGAGGTCATGGTGAATTTTAGTCTGACCTTCTCTGTAAAAAAAAGAAAAAAAAAAG